GCTCGGTGCGGCGAGGCCTGGGTCCAGGGTCCATCCCGACGGCCTGGGGGGAGCAGGCAGGCCCTCCCCGCCCGGCCTCCACCGGGCCTGGCCTCCGCCTCTGCCCCGCGCCTGACCTTGTGCCCGGAGCCTGGCTTCCCCGGGGTCACCGGAGGCGCCCCTGCCCACGGGACGCAGCTCAGGCTCAGGCCGCCTTCCTACAGATACTCGCACATGTACGTTACACTTATACTCACATCAGTGCCAGCGGGTGAGTGTCCACATGCACACCCCCTGAAGCACCGCCCCTGAAGCGCACCCCCGAAGCACCACCCCCAAGCACCCCCTCGAAGCACCAACCCTGGAAGCGCACCCCCTGGAGCGATGCCTCTAGTTGCTCCCCTGCTCCCGGCGCCATGGCCTCTGCACTTTCCCAGGGATCTACCTGACACTGACTCACCAGCATGATCGCTGTGGATTCACCATGTTCCTGCCTCTCCCACGCGGGTGGCACCCCCTGTGCAGGTGGATTGCACCTGGCTGCCCCGCACCCACCGGGTGGATGACCCCCCGCAGCTAGAGGAGCAGAGAGCGGGGGATCGGGCAGCCCGGCAGGTGGGCAGCACGTGGGGCTGTGTCCACAGGAGTGGGCATGGCCGCGGGCTCCTGGAGGCCGAGCCTCAGTGCTTGGCTCCGTCCCACCCACGGCGGCAGCAGCTGTCCCGGGCGTCAGGCATCTGCTAAGTCACTTAAGTCGCTCCGGGGGCAGGAAGGGACCGTCGCCCGAGGCCGCGCCACCGCCTCCAGGGCCTCCTCCCTGGGGCCTGCAGTCAGGGCCCCGGCCCCTGCGCCTTTCCGGGTTGGCGTTGATGGTTGATTGTGGCCTGTGACCTGTTTTGCCTCTTAAACCAAATGAAGAAATTTTTTTAAAGGAAGCCTTAAAATACACATTCTCTGCTACCCCCTGGGTAACCTGAGCTTTCCCCGCGGAGCAGCTGAGGCTGGCGGCTGTGTTCTGGGGGTCGGGGAACTCAGGGGGCGGGGTCAGCTGAGACTTGACACAGTGATTTTCTTTAATTGATTTTTTTAGAGAGGAAGGGAGAGAGAGAGAGAGAAACATCAATGCTGAGAGAGAATCATGGATCGGCTGCCTCCCGCCCGCCCCCCACTGGGGATCAAGCCCGCAACCTGAGCCTGTGCCCTTGACCAGAATCAAACCCGGGACCCTTCAGTCCGCAGGCTGACGCTCTATCCACTGAACCAGACTGGCCAGGGCCATAGAATTTGTTGAGGTAACAGGTGCGCACCATTATAATTTGGCATCTGTGAGCGCCATAGCGAGGTCTCCACCGAGTCTGGTCTCCTTCGCCCAGTTCCCCCCACACCCTCTCCTGGGCAGCAGGCCCTAGTTCTCTGTATCTGCGAGTTTGTTTCCGTTTTGTTCCCTTCATTTTTAGATTCCACATGTGAGAGAAATCACATGGGGCCTGTCTGTCTGTCTGTCTGTCTGAATGACGTCACTTAGTATAATCGCTTCAGGTGTGTCCATCCGTGTTGTCACAAAGGGTAAGACTTCACTCGTCTTATTGCTGAGTAATACTCCGTTGTATATATGCATCACAGCTTTTTGTTAATTTCTTTATATTGATTTTAGAGAGAGACGTGGATTTGTTGTTCCACTTATTTATGCACTGATTGGTTGACTCTTTATGGGCCTGACCGGGGATTGAACCCCAACATTGCTGTATGGGGACGACGCTCTAAACCAGGAGCCGCCAGCCCCCAGCTGCTTCAACAAGCTCCCCACGACGGGCACGTGGGCAGCTTCCGTGTCTTGGGCTGCTGCAGGTCCCGCTGCAGTGGGCACGGGTGCGCGTGTCTTTGAACCGATGCTTCCATATCCTTTGGGTAAACACCCCCAAGAGGGGTGGCCGGGTCATGTGGTCACTCTGCTTTTAAATTTTTGAGGAAACGTGCTGTTTTCCACGGTGGCTGCACCAGTTTACACCCCACCAGTGTGGGCAGGCGCTGTGCTCCACGCCCGGCCGGGGCTTGTTCTTTCTTGTCTTGACGGCCGCCTTTCTGACAGGTGGGAGCTGGTCCTGGGGGGTTGGTTTGAATTTCCTCATCAGCGGTGTCGACCGTCCCTTCATGTGCTTTTGAACGGAGCGTCCCTCGATCTCCCTGTGTGGGTGCTCGGACGTGTGGGAGGTGTTAGAGGAGAGCCTCCTACTGCGTGCTGCTCGCACGACTGTTCGCTGCTCGTGTGTTCTGGCTCCTACGTCGGGCACATACAGAGCGAGTGTTGTTCGTTGATGGCTCGCCCTTTCTCAGGGTAAGATGTCCATCTTTGTCTCTTGTTACCTTTCTAGACCTGACATTGATTCTGTCTGACGTAAGCATGGCGGCACCTGCTTCCTTCCCGACCGCGTGCTGGGTGCCAGCGTCCCCTTCCCCCAGTCTGTCGTCTCTGGAGCTGGGGTGGGTCTAGTTCTGGGTCCATCGGCTGCTCTGAGCCTGGAGATGCGAGCCCTCCGTCCACCTCCGGGACCAGTGCTGGCTGGTGACTTACCTCCTTTTCTGGCAGCCCTGTCGCCGGCTCAGGTGGTGGTTTTCTGACGTCATTCTGTTCTCTCTGCTTCGTGTTTCATGCCTCGGCTCTGGCTGTTGGTCTCCGATAAAGCCGTCCCTGTTCTGTCGGTAGCTCCTTATCTCCATCTGCCCGACAGGTTTGTGCGTCCCCTCCTCCCTTTCTAGGCATTTTTGTCACATTCTCTGTGCTGTTCTCCGTGACTAAATGGAAGCAGCTGTAGTTTTTTAAACTGTAAGAGGACATTTGTGGGGTGAATCATAGCGGTAGAAAACGTAATTCCTAAAAGAAATGGGCTTAGGGACCAAGTTACAGAGGCCAAGGAAGGGCCCTAGAGCCGGGAGCAAGGACGCCGATGCGAAGGGGCCTGGGGCCGGTGGGGAGGCCGGGCGGCTCGGAGGGAGCGCCAGCTGTGGCCGTTTTAATTCCCTTTCACTTTTATGCTGATTAAGTGCCCAACACCCTGTTCTGTCGTCTGTCACCTTCGGCTTCTGGCAGAAGCCGTGCCGCTCGCCCTGGAGCCTGTTTCCCCTGCGTCTGGTGATGCTCTGGACGGTGGTCTGGCTGGTGCTTCTCTCTGTGCTGAGTGCACCCTCCGCTCCCTCCCGGCTGCTCTCGGCCAGAAACCTGGGACCTAGGGTTTCCTCTGGGGACTGGCTCCCCGGCCGCCTTGAGACCTCGGTTTTGTCACTAACTTTTGACAGTTTTTACAATGTGTCTTGTTACTTCCTGCCTTGACTATCCTGGGAGCCCCCCCCCCCCATACCCACTATCCCAGGTTGCCTTTCCCTTCCGGATGGAGTGGAGAGCTCCCCTCTCCCGTGGAGTCTTGTCTGTCTGTCTGTCCTCCAGCCCTGATTCTCCCAGGGGGTCGGCTCTGTCCCATCGCCCTGGGCGGCCTTCTCATTGGAGGCCTCCGTCCAGAGTGTCTGTCTGTCCCTCTTCATAGTGTCCGTCTCTGGGGTCAGGTGCTCACTGTGCGCGTTGGGCTGCTCTGCGTCTGCTTCGTGGTGGCTGCTGTGGGTTCTCTGCTTCGTGGTGGCTGCTGTGGGTTCTCTGTGTGACTTTGAACCTGGTCTGGAGACTCTCGTTTCCTGTGTCGCCTGTCGCGTTGTTCGTGGTGTTTCGTGGCTGTACTTCTCGCTGGTGGCAGGTGGTGAGCACCTGTCTCAGTGATGGCGAACCTATGACACGCGTGTCAGGTGACACACGAACTCATCTTTTTGGTTGATTTTTGTTAAATGGCATTTAAATATATAAAATAAATATCAAAAATATGTCTTTGTTTTACTATGGTTGCAAATATCAAAAAATTTCTATATGTGACACGGCACCAGAGTTAAGTTAGGGCTTTTCGAAATGCTGACCCGCCGAGCTCAGAAGGTTCGCCATCACGGACCTGTCTCCAGGGGCCCTGCTGGGTTTTATCGATCAGCCGGTGGGCGATCACAGGTAGTTCTTCTGTTTGCCAGTAGATGGCGCTGTACACAAGGTGTGGTGATACCGGGGCGCCTGCACCTCCCGGGCAGGGTGGGGGTCCCTGTGGTCAGGGGAGCGGCTGCCTGGGGGGAGGGTTTGAAGCCTGCTGCTCCCATCCTCCCCACCCACCCCACCCGGAAAGCTGGCTCCACTGCCCAGGAACAGGGGCTCCCTGCCTTCGGGCTTGTTTTTCGCTGGTGTGGGTTCCTGAGATGTTTCTTACCTCTGCTCCCTGAGATGGAAGGGCCCAGCGTGTGTCATGAGGAACCGAGGCAGCTGGTGTGCTGGCCCTGGGGTCCATGCAGGTGGAGCTGTGGGTGCTGTCTGGAGGACCAGGCCATGTGTGTGTGCATACGTGTGTGTACATGTGCGCGTGTGTGACGGGCTCACCTCTGTCAGCAGTGCTGAGGCAGAAACCGGCCGTGCGACGACCTGCACTGGTGCAGGGTCTCGTGCGAGTCCCCGGGCCGAGCCGCCGGCCTGCTGCTGGCGGGACGGGTGTGTTCTGGGTCTGCTTGTGGGCCTCGCTGAAGGGCAGACCTTTTCTGTGGTGGTGGGGACAGCCCGTCATCGCTCCCCCTGGTGGAAGGGAAGCCGCGGCCTGGCCTCTGCACCCAGGGCTGTGTGGCCGCAGGCGGGTTCCTGGCTGTGCTCCCCCTGTGGTCACCGAGGCCCCCGACAGCCAGGTGCTCCGGGCGCCGCCCGCACGTGCCGACCTGCCCCCTGCGCTCCTCAGGCTGTTCTCCTGCCCTGGACACTGTTGGTGCGGACGGACCTGTCCCGTCCAGCCGTCTGCTCCAGGCCCTGCCAGGCGCTGACGGCACTGCCCCTCCCCCGCCAGCCCAGGTCCTGTCCTTGGTGACCATGCGTTCTGAGCGGGGCGCCCACACAGGACCAGGGGTGGCGGTGCCTCCCGTGGGAAGGGAGGGCACGCTGAGAACGCCGGCGCAGCCACGGTGGGCATCGTCCCTCGTCCTGTGTGCCGTCCTGGCCTTTGGTTCTGCCCTAATGGGTGAGGGGGTGTCACCCACCTTTTGCTGGTCCCTTCTGACAACCCTGGGCCTGAGTCCCTGATGATGGCCCAGGCACGAGGCCGCAGGGCGCCCGGTCTGCTGTCCCGAGGCCCCGTCGCTGACCGCAGGGGCTCTGTGCAGCGGGCAGGGCAGAGCGCCAGGACCCGGTGGGGAGACCTCAGGAAACGGCTGTGGGAGGGCCCTGCCCGCCTCATCCGCTCCCCGTGCTCTTGGCCTCCGCCTCCCGCCCCCTGTGGGCTGCTGGGGCCCTGACTGGCTCTGCTCCGCTGCAGGTACATGTCGCAGAGCAAGCACGCCGAGGCCCGCGAGCTCATGTGCTCCGGGGCGCTGCTCTTCTTCAGCCACGGCCAGGTGAGCAGGGGCCGCGGGGCCTCCTCCGCGGGCGGGGCCGGGCGGGGCGGGCATGGTCTGTGGGCCGGGGGCCTCGAGCCCAGGCTGCCGTCTGTCATCTGGGCTGCGGGGCTGTGTCCTCCCAACACAGAGCTCTCTCTCTAACCACGTGATTCTTGTCTGTTTCCATGTTTTATAGCAAAACAGTGCCGCGGACCTGTCCATGCTGGTCTTGGAGTCGCTGGAGAAGGCGGATGTGGAGGTGGCCGATGAGCTGCTGGGTGAGGCTTTCTCATGGTGCTCGAGGTTCCTTTCCTGTGTGTTTCAGGGCTGGTGCCTCCCGTCACAGCCCCTGCACACGCACCCACACAGGAGGCCACTGTGCTGTCCCAGGGGCTCCTGCAGCAGCCTCTGCCCCCCAGCTGTGCTCCCATGCCGGGCGGGCTCCTCTGGGCACGGCAGTGTGCTCTGGCAGCACTGGGCCCGGGTGGGGGGGGAGGGGGGTCCAGCAGGACCCGCCAGGGGCTACCAGCTGCCTGGGAAGTGGTCGTGTTGTGTCTGATAACCCTAGGGGCACTGTAGGCTCTGAGTCGGGGTGCCCGCCCCTGAACAGGGGTCTCTCTCTCGTTTTCAGAAAATCTGGCTAAACTATTTAGTCTGATGGACCCGAACTCTCCGGAGCGAGTGGCCTTTGTGTCCAGGGCCCTGAAGTGGTCCAGCGGGGGCTCCGGGCGGCTGGGCCACCCCCGGCTGCACCAGCTGCTGGCCCTCACCCTGTGGAGAGGTAGGTCTGGTGCATGTGGGCTGGGAGGGCAGGGCAGGGACCCCTGTGCGCCCGCGGCTTCTGCTTGTCTGTCGTCATGAGCTCCCGTCTGACCAACGAGAACCGGGGTTCCCTGTCCCTGAGCTAAGGCCGTACCGCACAGGCCGCCACCCTTTGGTCACCATCTAGCTGAGGGGCAGCCCTGAGGCATGAGGCTGGAGTGACCTGGGAGGTGGCCACTGGGCCTGGCCCTTCCTCCCCTGCCAGGTCCCCGTAGACCCGCCTCCCACCACGGGCCTCCTGTTGGGGACACGCTCCCCACCCATACGGGCTGTTCTCCTCGCACTGCCCGCCTTCTGCTCAGTGTCCAGTGCGCGTCCTGGCTCCGGTCTGCTCGGGCGCAGGGAGAGGCCGGCGGGAAGCACCCTCCTGAGTGCGGCTCCTCGCGGGGGTCAGAGGGCGCGCCCCAGCCTTGTGAGCCGTGTGCGGTTGGTGCACCCGCCTCACTCACCCCTCATGCCCTGCCTGTACCTGGGGACACATGCGCTCCTGTCCGCACGGACGCCCAGAGTGGGTGCGGAGGGGCCCAGCCTATGTGTGTGAAGACAGGAACTCAGAGGTGCAGGCCGGAGGCAGCTGTGCTGACGGGCGGGTGAGCCTTGGAGGCCCGGGAACCAGCCCTGCTGGCTGCGTGTGGGACTGGACAGCTGCAGCCGGAAAGGAACGGGCGGAGAAGAAGCCACAGACGCTGTGGGCTAAGATGGCCGCAGGCTCCCTCCTCACGGCCTCTCGCTCCCTGTGGGCGCCTCCTTCTCCAGACTCAGCCTGTGCCCAGCGCTCGTGGCCAGTTCCTCCTGTCCAGGGCCTCGGCCTGATGTCCCTGTCCCCCGGGTCCTGTCTGGGTGCTCGGTCCTCACTCACAGCCTGTCTGTCTCCACCCGCAAGCCTCTGCCTGGAGCCCTGTCTGGTCTCGTTGCTGTAGTGTCAGGAGCCCTCGCCCGTCCTGCCAGCCCCTCCCGGGCGGGCCCTGCTCCCGCCTTGTCCTCGGGAATGGGCCGTCTGCAGGGCCAGGTGGAGTCACCCAATCAGACCTGTGTTGCCAGCAGCATTTATTTGGCACCATCTCCCTGCCTATGTCTGTGGGCCCCCCGAGGCGATGCCAGGCCGCCGGCCGCCCCTGCCTCTATGGCTGCGAAGTAGCGTGCACGGCGCAGACTCAGCCCTGGGCTGAGAGCTGTGGGCACGTGTGTGTAGTAGTAATAACGGCTTGAAACCAGGACACAGGCCTCGTATGTCCTGCTCAGACCACGGGGAGACAGGCACAGTCCAGCAGGGGCCCCTCCCTCAGTCCCCACAGCTGTCGGAGGCTGGGCTGAGGGCCACCTGCAGAGCCTGGGCTGACAGACCATGTGGCCATCGCTGCACAGGGTCCGTCCCAGGCCTGGGGCTCAGGGACTTCCTGATTCTGCCCGAGTGGATGCTCGGAATCCCCTCCAGCCTGTGTGCCTCGCAGTGACAGCCTCTCCCTTTGCAGAGCAGAACTACTGCGAGTCCCGGTACCACTTCCTGCACTCGGCCGACGGGGAGGGCTGCGCCAACATGCTGGTGGAGTACTCCACGTCCCGCGGCTTCCGCAGCGAGGTGGACATGTTCGTGGCCCAGGCCGTCCTGCAGTAGGTGTCCGCACGCCGTCAGCCCTGCTCCCACGGGCCCTGGAATCACATGACACCCCCACTGGGCCCTGCACAGACTGCGCCCCTCCCAGCTCTCAGGAGCCGTCCCAGTCTGGGGCTTCTGTAACATTCCAGTTGAGCAGTGAGAAGTAGGTCTTGTATTTTATACGAACACTAGAAGTCCCGCGCACAAAATCGCGTGACCCCGCCCACCAGCACCTCCCACGCTCACAGTCCCGCCCACCCGTGCGGGCCTTTGGTTGTTATGGTGTTAGGGCCACTGGGTTTTTATAATATAGAAGATTCTTATGTTACCATTGGTTTTTTGTTTTGTTTTTTGTCTTGTCCCCTCCCCCATTGTCTCATGCTTTTGATTTTTTTGGTGTCAGGCAGCTGTTTTTTGCAGGACGTGTGATTAGCAGATTGTAAGTCGCGTCTTGTGATGTGAACCTGCTTTCAGAGGCTTTTTCAGAGGCTGTGCTGGCCTCTCCAGATGTTTCTGCATCGAAGAGAGAGGTGCAGGGTCCCACTCGGCCACATGGGGCCGGCACCCACCGTCAGCAGGGCCGCCCGGCTCCAGGCGCTCTGCCTTCCGTGGGTGACATGTCATTCCTCCCATAAACACCTGCGTGTGGCCAGGCGCTGGGGCGGGGGTGATTGAAGGTCCTGCCGCACGTCAGGCCCCCATTCCTGGCCGGCAGTGGGGAGGTTTCTCCATCCCGCTCACTGCGCAGGCACCTCTGGACTGGGCGTGGCTCTGCGTAGAGCAGCGGTTCTCAACCTGTGGGTCGCCACCCCTTTGGGGGTCGAACGACCCTTTCACCGGGGTCGCCTAAGACCATCGGAAATCACATATATAATTACATATTGTTTTTGTGATGAATCACTATGCACTATGCTTTAATTATGTTAACAATGAAATTGGGGGTCACCACAACATGAGGAACTGTATTAAAGGGTCGTGGCATTAGGAAGGTTGATTAGGAAGGTTGAGAACCACTGGCGTAGAGGGTCTCGAGCCCCTTCTCATGGAGCCCCCTTTGTGCCTTAAAAAACGTGACCCTGCCCCATGCACTTTGGGCCGCCCGCCCGCCCGCCGCGGAGACGTCCTCCCTGGGCCCTCGGACCATTGGCCCCTGTCGCCTCCCACTCGCTACTCCCTTCAGCTGTGAAGCCTAAAGCCCAGGCTGCTCACGGGGCGGCTGCTGAGCACAGGGCTCAGCAGGCTCGGAGTGTGAGTCCTCTGTGCCGTGGGGGCCGCGGCCTGGGAGAGGGCCCACAGCCCCCCGTGGGCGACAGGCCTGTTCCCTGACGGGAGGTGCTCGTTCGTTTCCAGGTTCCTCTGTTTAAAAAACAAAAGCAGTGCGTCCGTGGTGTTCACGACGTACACCCAGAAGCACCCGTCCATCGAGGACGGCCCTCCGTTCGTGCAGCCGCTGCTCAACTTCATCTGGTTCCTGCTGTTGGCCCTGGACGGGTGAGTGAGTGAGTGAGTGAGTGTGCACAGGTGTGTGAGCGTGTGTGGGAGCGTGTGTGTGAGGGTGTGAGTGCATAGATGTGTGAGCGTGTGCAGGGGTATGTGGGTGTGTGTGTGAGTGAGTGTGCACAGATGTGTGAGCGTGTGTGGGAGCGTGTATGTGAGGGTGTGAGTGCATAGATGTGTGAGCGTGTGCAGGGGTATGTGGGTGTGTGTGTGAGTGAGTGTGCACAGATGTGTGAGCGTGTGTGGGAGCGTGTGTGTGAGGGTGTGAGTGCACAGATGTGTGAGCGTGTGTGGGAGCGTGTGTGTGAGGGTGTGAGTGCATAGATGTGTGAGCGTGTGCAGGGGTATGTGGGTGTGTGTGTGAGAGTCGGGGAGTGGGTGTGGGGCTGTGAGTGTGCAGGCGTCTGCGTGGGGGAGGGAGGGGGCCTTTCTGTCCCCCGGTGTCTGGAGACCAGAGCGGAGCCCTGCGTCCGGTTTCAGGGGGAAGCTGACCGTGTTCACGGTGCTGTGTGAGCAGT